ACGAAGAGTCGGACACGACTAAACGACTAGACGACGATGAGAATGGTGTAGTGGACAAAGTGATAGACTAGGAGACCTGGGTTTGAATCTCTGCCTGGACGTGGAAACATATGGAAGCAGGGGATAGAACGGGGTGGGGGGGGCAAAGCACTTCTTAAGTATCTCACTTACCTTGAATGCAATATTAAGGGTGTTGTAATTTCGTTGATGGCATATAACACATACTACTTGTCTGTAAGAACTTGTGCTGTGACCCAGATGACCCTAATTTAAATATTGCTTCATCTGCAGACTTATCAGGTAGCTTTAGATCAATGGTGGGGAACTTGTTCCAGCCTAGGGACTAAATTTAATTTCTGATTAAGTTCCTTGGCTACATTTCAGTGGTAGGCAGTGCCAAAGGCAAAATGGTGGGACCGACACACTCCTCATATATTTTAATGTAAAACTCTTAGCATCACTAAGTACTGTATTAGGACAGGCTTTTCAGACTTTCAGAATGGGGAAAACCCTATGCAAAATCTGAGAAAGCACAAAACCATGATGTTATTTCTCCATATAACTCTTCCCAGCTTTTTGAGGAAGGCCTCTCATTCCTGCTGACTTTATAGGGACATTATGACTTCAAAACAAAGGAACAAAGTAAGCAACCTATATACAAATGCTAGTTATTTCTACTGTCTGTAGGCCAACTTTTCTGCAAGACCGTTTCTTCCCCTTCATATAAACTAGTCTAAGATGTCTGAGACAAGGACTGACCCTAAATTAGAAATCGTTAGGAAGTTGAATGGTGGCCTGAATTGAGATTTTTACCTCAGATATATGCTAATTATTTTATCAGCTTTATATGGCCTTTGGTGTGTAGTTGAAGCTGTTTTTCAGATCTGTTGATCTGTTTTTAAAGGATACACTGACTTTTAGCACTTCATTTTAATTGTTTTTATGTGGGGTTTTTTTTCTGTTTATGGTTGTGGATCCCTTTGGGCCCTTGTGGTCTGAGAAGCATGGAATACTTTGAACAAACAAACAAACAAACACCAATGCTAGATGAAGCCACCATTAGTTTTATTGTTTTGTGAGTGACCACTGTTAAGAGCATAGTTGTCACTGTCTCCCTGCACTACATTTTCTTTTGACTTCACTGTTTTCATCTCCTTTGCCATTACAAACACTTCATTCATTTGCTGATGTGGATTGTAGTCCCATAGGGTTTAGGTCCAGACTATATGAACAGGGTTATCACTAGAGTAGAGCAACTCTAAAATTTAAAAAGCACAAAAATCTACCGGTGACTGAGAAGAAGGTAAACACCAATACTTCTCAATCCTAGTCATTTCCCTTTATTAAAAAAGCACAAACTTTTATAACTCTCTTCATCAGATTCCACATTCTTTTTCTTGTATGTGTGCGTGTGTGTGTGCGTGCGTGGCCACAGGTGTGGTTGCCTGGCCCCTAAAGCAGAGTGGGTGGCAGATGGTACGGCTTGCCAGAAGGGTCAAAATGGATCATTATGGCTCTGTATTTTTCTGTGCAAGCCTGCCCAGACTCAGATCTTCTGTGGAAGTCCATCCTTCAGTCCCACCACTATCACAGGAATGCTAAGTAAAAGCACGAGAGGAGGGCTTTCTCAAAGGCTGCTGCCATGCTTTGGAACCCCTTGCTGAAAGAGGCTGCTTGGCCCCCTCCCTCTTGTCCGTTGGCTGGCAGGCAAAGACCTGTTTATTTAGCCAGTCTTCAGCAGTTGACTAACTTGCTAAGTAGAGCGCTCTTAATGGATTGTTCCTGGATTCCTGCACACGCACTTTTTTTTCTAAAGCAAGATTTAATACTGCTTTTTAATTCAATCGTGTTTTAATATTATAACTTGTTTAAGTGCGCTTAACAATTTGGCAAACACAAAAAGAAATGCAGGAAAGAGAGGACTGCATGGCTGAAGAACCTGGGGGAGACGTCTGGATGCAGTGCAATGTCATTGTTTAGAATTGCCCTTTACAAAAAAAAATGTTTATGTAGTTATGATGATGTCTAACATCGAGTAGAAATGAGAGAAGAGGAAAGAGATGCATTTTAGAGTTACAATTTTGGGTCTATTATTGCATGTACATATTTTATCCTTTTATATGTGTACCTGTTTTTAGGGCAATAATAAATAAGTAGTTTGTGAACACTGGTAGCACAAGAAAGTGTGTTGGTCTGTAAGGTGCCACAACATTTCTCATATATTTTGATGACTTTAAAGGGATTGGTTTGCAATTCGATCATCCTAGTCCAAGTCCATCTATTATACTGTGCAAATGTTATGATCAGTTTTGCTTTTATGTGCTTTGTTTCCACCACAAGTTCGTGTGCTTGCACCTAACCTAGGTATACTTCCCATTTTATTTTTAAGTATTCATGTGATGCATGCAGCATTTCTTGCATGACTTCCAAATTGGCTGGTGTTATTCATAATATCTAACAGATTCCACTTCTCTGTGCCTCCTTTCTGAACGAATTCAACCACTGGAACTCCTCGTATCTCCGTCTTTTCCCTCTCCCGCTCCTTCCCTTCACCCTTACTTGTTTTTCTTGGCCTCCCCCCCCCTTCTCTTCTAGAATGGGCAGCTTCCCAACTAGCCAACAGAAAATAAAGAAATATTCAAACTCTCTCCTTCACAACACCACCCAGTTCTTCGTTTCCATGGATCCCCCAATGCCCTTCTTAGCTTGGTCATTCTGCCCCTCCCAGGCACCTGTTGGGGGCTCATATAACCCGCCCTTCCCTGTCCCTTAGCACCGGCTCCCACGGGATCCTTCTAGACAACAGCAGGTACCTGTGAGGGCGAACAATTCAACAACAAACAGCCTGTTGAAGCCAGAGGGAAGAGAAGGCAGCGGATTTATCCAGTGCCCCACCACCAGCTTCTTCCAGGGCCTTTCTCCATTGCTGCTTCTACACCTGTCAGCTCAGAAAGTGGCAGACAGCTGTGCCTGGATCTCCTCAGAGACAGGTATCCCGGGATCCCTAACCCGTATCATAAGCCATCTCTAGGAAGCTATAGAATGCCATTTTCCCAGGCTGATCTTCTTTGCAGGTAACATGGGAAGGTCTCATCGGTAGGTCTCTTCCATAAGAAGGTCTCTTCCATAAAGAGATACAGTGCTGTAGAGGAGTCTGCTAAGATTCTCTACCCAGGCTCACACGTTGTGGAAATGTTCTTCTAGGACTTACTGACTCAACCTGTTCTTTGGAGATAACTTTGAATACTGCCAAGTCAGACTGAAGCTCGGGTCTTTGAATCCTCCCTCACCTTCATCTGTTTTTGCCTGCTGTAGGCTGGTGCTGTCTATAAGCCGTGGCTCCCTGAACCTCCCAGAGGGTTGTAGAAGAAACGTGCGCCTTACAGTTTAGGCTGAGGGTCCCACAGCCATGGCCTCGGCAGGTCTGGAGATCTTGGCCATGGGCCTGTGCATCATTGGCTGGGTGGGGACGATCCTTGCCTGTGCCCTGCCCATGTGGAGGGTCTCCGCTTTCATTGGGAATAACATTGTGGTGGCCCAAATCATCTGGGAGGGGCTGTGGATGAATTGCATTGTGCAAAGTACAGGTCAGATGCAGTGCAAGATCTATGACTCCATGCTGGCTTTGTCTCAAGACGTCCAGGCTGCCCGGGCGCTCATGGTCATCTCTGTGGTCCTGGCCATCCTGGCCCTGTTGGTGGGCATCACGGGGGCCAAGTGCACCAACTGTGTGGAGGATGAAGGGGCCAAGGCACGCATCGTCATCACCTCAGGCGCACTCTTCATCACCTCGGGATTGCTCACCCTCATTCCTGTGTGCTGGTCGGCCAACTCGATCATCCGTGACTTTTACAACCCAATTGTCGTGGAATCCCTCAAGAGGGAGCTGGGAGCTGCTCTTTATGTCGGCTGGGCTGCTTCGGCACTGCTGCTTCTCGGAGGGTCTCTTCTGTGCTGCTCTTGCCCTCCACGGGATGACCGTTACCCGGCCCGCATTGCATACTCTATTCCAGCCAGATCCACTGCACCTCCAGCTAGTGGCATTGACAAGCGTGACTATGTATGAGCAGCTGTTGTTTGTCAAGCTTGGAAACATTTTTAAATGGACTTCAATTCCCAGAATCCTTCAGGCAGTGGCAACTGACATGACCCTAGAATGGCTGATGGATTCTGAGATTTGTAGTCCTCAGAAGTAATGTTTCTAGCTCTGGTTGTCTGTGTAGGTGGGTGGTGGTGGTGAGAAAGACTTGCAAGGCAATGCTATGCCCAAATACTCACAGCCAGACCAAGGACTTTTAGCAATCAGACAAAGACAATCTGGGTTGGCCTCTGATAGCAGGCAATTCTAAAATGTGTTTGTGCATGCGTCTGTATATATGTGTGTGAGTGTGTACATGTCAACACAGGTGCATATGTGTGACTCGCGACAAGAAGGAGCTTAGGAACACACAAATAAACAAAGGGGTATGTGAAGGAATTAACAAATATTTGTGAAAGAGATGAGTGTAACAGCAAACATAAGTGGAATGAAGAAACAGGAGGCTGAGCAAACCAAAGCAGAAAGATAGGAAAGCATCCAGAAAAATTAATGGCTAAATGAGGAAACAGGTGTGGGACTGGGGAAATACTGGACACTTTTGAACAAGATTCGCTTATGAGTGAACTGATCAAAGAATAAATGAATTTAAATATTTCAGAAACAGGAAACGTCACCAGGATCAGACTATATTATAAACAAGATTACTTTAAAAACAAATCAGCAAGAAGAGTTTTGGGCTACGTCAGTGTGAGAGAAAGGGAAGTGGAATAAAGAGCTGAAGAAAAAGGGAATTAAAATGAAGGAATGGTCTGTGGTTTCTTGTATGCAGTTGGATGTATGGAAGTGAAAGGGCTGCAAGAAGAAACATGGAGGGAAAAAACTAAACCAAACATGGCATAAGGTATAAATGAATCCTGAGGGAAATGATAATCAAAGAGGAGGACAGAATTTCACAACGAGACTGGTAGAGGAATGGCAAACGAAATTGAGGTTTGGGTTTGCTCGGTGAGTACGGGAGGGGGAAGCAGCCAGAGACCCTGACCCTGCCTTGCCTTGGACTGGTGTTCTTTGCTTGCAGGTTAATAATTTGCCAGGGATTTGTCTGTTCCCTGGGGCCTGGGCAAACAAAGGGGGCTGTTATTCTCTTCTGTTGCTCTCCCGCATTTACCCCAGGATGCCTCAGATAGTGCTAGACAGGAATGTCTCTCATGTATGCCCAGACACTTTAGCCGGGTCCTAGTTGCCCCTGGCTTTGAAGCTGCAGGGTATGGAAAGCAAAGGCTTTTCATGGCCTCCCTTTTGTTTCTTCAGGGATCTCCTGGGAAAAGGGGAATGAGGAGCTTCCTGAGGTAACTGAACAACTCCCTTATGATAAGTGCCCCCTCGCTGTCCTTTTAGATGGTTCCTTTCCACTGTCAATGCTATTTTTCGGATAAATAAGTTGATTTTAAGACATCTGTGTCAGGTTTTTTTTTGTGAGAGATGGTGAAAAGGTACTGTGGGAAATTTGAAATTGGGGGGGGGGAATTTAAAGATATAATGAAGAGCACAGGAAAAATAAGGAATGAGGACAAGATGCGAAAGATATAAAAATTTGATTCATTCCTAGCAGGATTATTGGGAGTCAAGAGTGCATATGTACCACAAATCATACCATCTATCATAGATGCCCTTACTCATTAAAGCTACCTAACCTAGTTCAAATTATTCAGGAAGGGCATTTTGCATGAGCTCAGGAGCGCTCTTTCTACTGCTGCACACATGCCTTGCCATTCAGAAGGGTTTCACAAACCCATGTGACTTCAGGCTCAAATGAAGTTCAGCTCCGCGGAAAGGTTAATGTGCTTGTAAAATTCTGCAAATGTGTTAGAAAGTAATAACTATTCACTATTTTAAAAAACAAACAAACCGGTACTGTTCTACCTCAAATCTGTGCCTCTCAGATTCTGAAGCTGTGCCCATAATTGTGCCCATATTTTTTTTATTGAAATGGTAAGTGATTACTTAATGTATGTGGAAAAAGCCCAGACATGCTCAGGGGCAACCTTCTTTTCAGCGAGCTTACCAATCTAAAGGAAGGAGAGAAAGCCCTCTTATGATAAGGAGCATTGGGAGGTTTGTTTTAAGTTTCTGGAATTAGCTTCAAGCTAAGCACCCCAGTGAGAATGGCCCAAATGGCAGAAACTATCATGAGGCAGAGAAATGCACTAGAAGTGTTTCCAAAATGGAGGTGCAGGAGTAAACAGTAAATACACCTCAGAACTGGCACTCCTGAGGAAAGGTGCATGTAAAAGCACATGTAGAATGTGTGTAAACTTAAAAGTAAAAAAGAATTAAAGAAGAAGAAGGAGTCTTGTGGCCACTTAGAAAAGTAGACCTGATTCAGGGACAACAACAACAACAAATGTTTTGTGGAATCTTTAATATTAACAGATATATCTCGGTGAAAGCTTTTAGGGATTACAGTCCATTGTCTGAAGGCATGGATGGTACATCACAAAACTCCACTTTGAAATAAACGTGTTAATTGAAAAGGTGCCACAATAGTTTTCTTTGGTTTCATTCATTTTCTTTCCTTTTCTTTCCTTGTTTGTTTTTCTTTTGAGAGCTTCCATACATCACACTGCTTTTGTGTCTGCAATTTCCTTTATCAGACATAGGGTTGGGAAATACTGAGCCTGTGGAAAGGAGACACAAGGTGGGTGGACATGGTATTTTAGGAATTACAGGTATAAACTTATGGAGAGCTTGAAGGTCTGGATGTGTGTGAGAATTGGCCTTAGAAATGTGACTTTCAATGGGCTACAATTCCCAGAATCCAATAATCAGAACCACTGTAATTTCTCTAAGCTCTGTCTCTTAGTGAGCCAGTTTATCTGACTCAGTATTATTGACACTGGCTAGTAGAAATAGCACTTCAAATTTTCAGAAATTTCTGAAGATTTTAGGGACTGAACTTGGCTGTATTATTGAAACTGGCTAGTAGAAACAGCACTTCAAATTTTCAGTCAGCAGATATTTCTGAAGATTTTAGGGACTGAACTTGGACTTTATGCCTGAAAAATATTGAACCAAAATCATGTTCTTTACTGCCGTATGCGCAAGGGAGTTTATTGTGATCGGTTTATTGTTGAGGGAAACAGATTTGTACATACTGAGGGGACAATGTGCCTGAAAAATATTGAACCTTGCTGCATGTGCAAGGGAGTTTATTGTGATAGGTTTATTGTTGAGGAAAACAGATTTGTACATACTGAGGGGACAATGCTCTGACACAGAGATGGGGCAGGTCGAGGGATGGTGGAGGAGGAAATACTCAGGCTGAGTATCCCAGGCTGTGTATCAGCTCAGATTACTACCTGTGCAGTAGATGCAAAAGACAGGCACACATAATCTATGATGCAAAGTGTGTGACCTTCCTAGTTGAGCTTTCATGGCCTCGCCCACTTACTAGGGAACAGAGCCTGGTGTCTGCACCTGGCATCTTTGGGGCAACTGCCAGGATTTTCATCATCCTGGCAAGGCCCACTGTAACACCTGCCATGGGCTTTTTCTTGTGTGTCTATGTCTACCTGACATTCTGAGCAGCACCTGTATCTGGGTTTAACTACTGCTTAAATTTTCCTGTCCTGACAGAGTGATACACAGGGGCATAACTACCGCTTAAATTTTCCACCCTGTCCTGACAGAGTGATACACAGGGGCATTGTGGGACAGGGAAATGCCCCAGACACACGGACATAACATACATGGACTGCGGCCACTTCCTGCTGCCGCCTAGAGGACAGCTGTGTCTTGCCTCTTAACTCTGTCAAAGCTAGAGATTACAACTCCCATAACTCCTCACTAGCTTGGCCATGAGAGAGTCTGGGAGTCATTGTCTGAGAAGCACCTGAAAAAGGGGTTCCACCTGAGTGCATCTCACCCAGAGATACTTCAAGTCCGGAAGTTAGCATTGTAGGAAATTGAGGTCCTTTGCACAGCAATTTAAGGCTGAAGTATTCCTAATGTCTTGTCTTTTCACCCCTCTGGCATGAAATATAGCCAGGATGTCTCTGATTCTCTCTCCCAGCTTCTCAACTACAAAGAGGCATGAAGCCTTTGAAGGACATATAGCTCATGATGAATGTCACAGCAGGGGTACAGGCATTAATGACACCCTTTCATAGTCATCACCCCCCCAACTCCGCCTATCTCCCTTTGAAAGGAGAAGAAAGAGCAAGGGAGACAATATTGTCCTATCCTCCAGCTTAGAAGAAAGACTCAAAATTAAATCTTATACAGCAGGGAAAGCTTTAGATCAGTACCAGAAATCAAGTGGTCTCATATAAAAAGTATACAATATATGTACACAGGAATGGTGGTGAGTGGGTCATCGGCTGGCAGCCGGTGTGGTCTGAATAGACCATGCACTTATCCTGCAGTGGAAGGATGAACACTGTCTATCTCATGGATGGAACACAGATTACTAGTACTCCAGGTATGCGGGATCTAGTTATTTTTAAATTTTAGAATCCTGAAATCAACCAGGCAGAGCTTGTTGCAAGAGAAATGTATTCTGAGGCTAGGTCAGCGTTTGGAGGACTAGAACCAAAAGTCTATCCGAAAGCTTGGAAATGTTACTTTTTTGGACTCCAGATCCCAGAATCCCCCTATCCGAAAGCTTGAAAATGTTACTTTTTTTGGACTCCAGATCCCAGAATCCCCCACAACTGTAGTCCAAAAAAAGTAGCACTTTTAGGCATTGCTCCTTCCACACACAAAATTCATCTCATGTTTTCTTCACTTTGGCAAGGCGAGTGGAGTCATTCTGTAGCTGTACTGTTGAGAGCTTGGGAATCAGAAATCCTAGGTGATCTACCATCATCCATCCAGAGGTCTATGGGAGATCCATATTGGTCTTTTGTCTGCTCTTGTTTTGGATCAAGGGAGGTAAAGAGCAGCCCCAGGGTTACATAGCTCCCTCAAATAAGTTTTTGTGCTGTATCCCAAATGATGCTTGTTCCTGGAAAAGAAACAGTGAATTAATGTTCCCATTCATCTCTGAAGTGGGCCTCAGGGATACCTTACACTGTTTTAAAATTAAAAATTACAATTTTCCCCAAACCCAAGAATAGATTTCTAGTTTTGCTTTTGGGATCTCTCCTTCCTTCCAGTGAAGGGAGAGGATCCCTGGGATGTATGCGTATAAGTCTCTGTGTTTTTATGCATATCTGTAGCTCCTGAACCAGTATTTTAAGTGACTTTTGGGGGCTGAAAAGGCTGTGCAGCTGCCAGAAGGTGCTAGAGAAAGCAAATTGGGCTAAGACCTACTAAAGTTACCCATTCCTGCTCTGGGCTGTACTTATATTTAAAAGAAAGGTTCAGAAGTTTATACCAGCAAATACGGCAATCCCTTTCCTAGTAATTTGATGTGGATGGAGCAGGCTGGCTGTACATGGTCAGGAACACTTACTGCTTAGGAGTTAAGGTTGCAGCCATCTGTTGAAACATCGTTCCTAAGGGAGGAGTCCTTTTAATCCTGCTTAGAACACACCAACTGAAATCAATGGGCTTTTCTATATATGTTTATCTTTTCTTTCCTCCAATGATCTCAAAATCTCATCAGTGGCTCCCTTTTCACCTCCCCCATCCTCACAACAGTCCTGTGAGGCAGATCAAGCTCTCTGAGTGGCCAAAGTCTGCCCGGTGTGCTTCATGGGTCAGTGGCATCTCAACCCAGTGTCCTGAATCCTAGTTCTACAAGTCTAATAATCTGTCACTACTACACACTGGTTATTTTAAATTTTAATAATATTGTGGCTTATTTTTGTTGGGACCAAGCACAAGATAATGATGATAAATTGTTTGAAGAAAATAAAGAGATGAAGAATTCAGAAATACACCCCCCAGTTATTACAAAATTGCAATGTTAGAGGGAGGAGGTGAAGATAAATATTTTGCAACATAAAGGACATTTCAGAGACTGTAAAAGGAAAAAAAAAGCAGATATGCTTATCCTGTTGATTGTGGATTCCTGTTTCACTCAACTCCCCCTTTTCAAAGACTTTAACACATACATTTTAGAAATATTTTCCTCTGAGGAAACTCAGGTACTAATAGTCAAGAGTGGGTGGGAAGAGCAACCGGCTCAGCTGCCTGCCGTCCTTTCCTCTCCTCGAACAATTATGCACTTCTCTCACCCCCACCCGCTCCAGGATATTTTGGATACGGGCCCAGAAGTCGACCCCGGTAAGGCGAGATCCCTGCCTGGCTTCTTGGAGGGGTACCAGTACATTCCAGTGCCAGGCCGAGCCTTCCTCAGCCAGACACGTAAGGGACAAGGAAGCCAGTTTCCTTGGCATGGGAGACGGAAATCGAAAGAAGCGCCTCTTCTTTCAAGACTGGCATGAGATGGGGTGGAGAGGGAGGCTGGGTGGGGTGGGCAGTGTGAGGTTTCAACCAAGTCATGGAAAGGGGGCTTCAGGGAAGAACTACACAGAGAGCTTGAGCCATCCCCAAGTCTAAAATTGCCCTCTTGTTTGCCTGCACTTAAGATAGGTTATTGTATCCCCTTATTGAATGAAAAAAGGAGCAGCCATAGAGGCATGAAACAAATCCCAATATCCCTATTCCGATGATAATTGCTATTAAGCTAACCAAAAAAGGCAAGAGGGAAAAGTGCACAGACTTTCAAGTTCACAGATCTCTTTGTCAGGCAATTTGTTACAAATGTAGGCTGGGAGAGGGTGGAAATGGGGTGGTGGTGGTGGTGAAAGTGCTATATTAAATCCCTGTGTCCTGAAATGTAGCGAAGAGCAGGAAGGCTAACAGATAGTTAAATGGGCCCTCATCTCCTGATGCTGCTGCAGCTACTATGACTAAGCATGACTCATAATAATAATGAAACCAAGAGAAAAGGACAGATTTTTCCAGTTTGAGCAGCAATTTTCATGTATCACTTTCTGCCTGAGAAGTAAAAAAGGACACTGTATTATCTGTTACTTCCTTTGACGAAGAATTTGGGTGTGGCCAGTACCAGTGGTCAGTGAGCCAAATTAGGGCCACTGAGAAAGAAGAGGAGGTATTAGCACCCCCGGGTTTGCAGAAATACAGGGAAACACTTCAGTAATAAAACATAAGAGGGACCACACACCCTATAGCTTAAAAAGGACTGAGTATGGGATGCAGATTTACTGATGGGCGGGCATGCAGGGGAAAAATGGGGTGATGGTGGAAAGTATCTTGAAAAAGACAGTTGCTGGCTGATGGGCAGGAACCTTGACCAACAGCATGTCCCAATGCTGCATTTTGGTCTGTGCATGTCTGTGTGCTGTGATAACAATAAAGAGGCCTGTGGCCTCTGAAAAGTAACAAGTTTCATTTGGCTTCAGCGTTTGTAGACTGAAGCGGACGTGAAGACCAGCAGTCGTAAGATCGAATCCACCCAATGGAGTGAGCTCCCGTCGCTTTGTCCCAGCTCCCGCCAACTTAGCAGTTCGAAAGCATGCAAATGCAAGTAGATAAATAGGTATCAGTTCGTTGGGAAGGTAAAATGG